GGTCACAACCCCCCCACCAAACCTGCTCCAGCCTGGGCTCCTCTCTCCACGGGGCCACAGGCCCTGCCAGGAGCCTGCTCCAGCGTGGGCTTCCCACGGGGTCCCGGCCTCCTTGGAGGAGCCGTCTTGGTGGCATTGACTCCATCGGACATGGAGGAAGCTTCGAGCAGCTTCTGACAGAAGCCACCCCTGCAGCCTCCTTGCTACCAAAACCCTGCCACGCAAACCCAATACAATTTCCAAGGAAGGAAAGCAAGCTCCTGTCTCTCAGGGACATGTCCCCCTTGCTCTTGGCTACCTCGTGCCTCCATCCCATCTCTCCTGGTCCCTCCTCTTTCCGGGTACCAGGGCCATCGCTGGGGTTCCCAGCATCTCCGCAGGGTTGATCAGCGCTGACTCCCACACTCAGCGCACATCACTCCCACCTCCGCCTCCTGCTGCAGCAGGGTTTGGCCTCTGTGCCCCAGCAAGGGCTGCGCCGTTCCCAGTCCCCTCTGGATTAATTCCGGTGGATAACAGACTTCTTTGGTGAGCTGCTGGTGTCGGTGTAGTTGAAACTCCAGGACAGTGCTTATCTTTGGGGCAAAGACTGAATCTTCCCAGTGATTTAGAAAGTGTGCAGGGAGTTGGAGACTGGCAGGGTATAATCAATGGCTGCGGTGATAGGGGAGAGCTCTGCTATCGCTGGAGATAAAGGAGTAGATCCAGTCAGAAAAACCTCAGCAGCACTTTCAGGAGAGACAGACACTTCAAAGCTCAACTCCCCTTGACCTTCCCGAGAGATTTATGTCCCCAGGAATATGCTCACGCTGTCACCGTGGGTGTATGACACCAGTGGTACATCTGCAGCACCCCAGTGACTATACAGGCAGGGTTCGGCCAGCAGACATCTCCTTGGCTTGGGTACCACAGCAGCAATCAGCTCCAGCCCTTGGGAAGTGTCCCCCCACCTCTCAGCCCCGAGCATCTCGCTGCAGCCCAGGGCTGCTGGGTTTTCTCTCCTTTGCCAGCTGATGGGCTCCAGGAGAAGAGATATAGGGCCAAAATATGAGTTAAGTCTCCAATTTCTATGTCATGGGACCTTCTGACTTTTTAAAACTCCTTTTTGTTGCAATCTGGAATGAAAACAAAGAAACTCGAAGCTGTTGTCAAGAGGTAAAATGCCTGATTAGGTGAAGGGGACCCTTCAACTCCTTTATTTTAAATTTAAGCACTAACCTGGCTCCTTACAGCTCGAAACATCTGATGCTATCTTGCAGATCAAAGCCTCCTTGTTTGGATTGTAATGAACTGTCAAGCTGTTTCCTTGCCACACAAACAGGAGACACTTTGATCTGCAAAACAAGATGTTTAAAAGCCCCGCTAGCAAGGGCTCTTCAAGTGTTAGCAGCACTGTAAAGCGGTGGAATATTTGAAGTCTGATATTGTTTCATATTGAGACTTTCCAAGTTACGGCAGCCGCTTGTGTTACTGTTACACCTGTACCAGGAATCACATGAAAAATCATCTAAAGCAAAACAAGAGCGAGCCGGTGAACCAAACTGATCATTTTTCTAACAGTTTCCAAAAGCAATTGTTGGGTCCCCCCCCCCTCCTTTTTCCAGAGGGCTTGTTTCCATGGGAAATGTGATCAGAGTCAATGTGAGCTCTCCACAAAATGTCAACTTGTCTGAAAGATTTGCAGCAGCAAATTGTTATAGGGGGGAAAAAAAACCCCAACCCAAACCCAAGCATGATTCTGGGTGGTTCAGCTGGAGAGCACTGCCGGCGTTCCTGCTCCCTTGGTCTTGCTTTCCACAGAATCCCAGACTGGTGGGGGCTGGCAGGGACCACTGGAGACCCCCCAGTCCAACCCCTGCCACAGCAAGGTCACCTACAGCAGTTGCACAGGATCGTGTCCAGATGGGTTTTGAATATCTCCAGAGAAGGAGACTCCACAGCCTCTCTGGGCAGCCTGTGCCAGGGCTCGGCCACCCTCACAGTCCAGAAATTCTTCTTCGTGTTCAGATACGAGGCCCATTAACCTGTCCATCATCCCACGAGGACTCTCTGGGGGTGTCTGTGCAGGCACCGGTCTTGATTTGGTCAGGCTGGATCTGCTCACACATCTCTCCCTGCTCGGTTGCAGGCTCAGCGCTGGCGCAATGAGAACTACGAGAGACCCGTGGACCTGGAGGGCTCCGGGGACGACGACCCTTTTGGGGATGATGAACTGGACGATGTCTACTCAGGCTCCGGCTCGGGGTGTAAGTAACTGGGGTTCCTGGGGAAGGATTGCTGGGGTTTGGGTGGGACCGGAGAGGGGCTTGCCATGGGGTGTGAGGGAGAGGATTGCTCCTTATCCATCTCCAGAGCTGCCCTCCTGCCCTCCGCTAGACAAAAGCAAAGGGAACTGTCCCAAAGGTTGGGCTCAGGTGACTCCGTTTCCCATTTCAGTCTTTAGCCGTTCCCCAGCACAGTAGCACGTGCCATGTTATAAAGGTTTCATTGACCCCAGAGAGGGATCTTTGGCCACCACATGGGAATTTGCAGCCCTTGGTTTCTGTTGAGCTTGGAACCAGCCCCTGCTCTCGTTTTTTTGGGGGTGAGACCAGGTGCCTGTCAGCCCTGGGAAATGCTGGGGCGGCAGCAGCTTCACCTTTCGCTCTTCTTCCCCTCTTTCAGATTTCGAGCAGGAGTCGGGGCTTGAGACGGCAGTGACCCTCACCACAGACACGTCTGTCATGATCCCCACCACGGCGGCTGTGCTGCCCATCACCTCGGTGCAGCCCGTGGCAACCCCCTTTGAACCATTCCCTGCTGAGGACACCACCCCCGAGCAGACAACCGGCATCTTGTATATCCCCAGGATGACAGAGACACCAGTGATCCCCAGTTGGAAGGCAACCACCACCAGTACCACTACCAGCGACTCCCCTACCACCACAACCAGCACCACAACCACCACGACCACCACGACCACCGCCACCACGACCACCACCAGCACCACCATGGCCACTGCCAAGCCCACCACCATCCGAAGGTTCCTGCCCCCCTTCATCACTAAGGCAGCCACCACCCGGGCCACCACCCTGGAGACACCCACCACCTCCACCTTCGAAACCAGCACACCAACAGAGGTGGCCACATCACGGCTTGTCACCCCCCG